TTTTCTTTCCCTTTTTAATTTTCCTTCTTTCCTGTTTATCGATTTGTGGCCTGTGAATTGGAGTACTTCGTCATGCGCTACGCATAGTTTGTCAAACATTTTCACTGCTGTATTTGTTCTTGTGGTTATTCCTCAGGTCTGGGGTTATCCGTTCCGTTTTGTGTATGCTGTATTAGTACTGGCTACTCTCACCGTCTGGTATGGAAAGGGAGACTTCGGAATAGCCAACTGTTATAGTTTGGTCACGCTCTTGTGATTTTGTTGTTGTTGTTGTCGTTGTTGTTGTCGTTGTTGTTGTCGTTATTGTTGTCGTTATTGTTGTCGTTGTTGTTGTTGTCGTTGTTGTTGTTGTTCGTTGTTGTTGTTGTTGTTGTTGTTGTTGTTGTTGTTGTTGTTGTTGTTGTTGTTGTTGTTGTTGTTGTTGTTGTTGTTGTTGTTGTTGTTGTTGTTGTCGTTGTTGTTGTTTTTATTATCGTTATTGTTGTTTTGTTGTTGTTGCTATTTGTTAATGTTATTGCTATTGTTATGGTTATTGTCGTCTTTGTTTTTGTTGTGTATATTGTAAGTGATAATCCTTATAAAATTAATCAAATTAAAATTTTCATCTATCTTTTTTATTATCTTTTCTTTTTCTTTCTTGCAAAACTACAATTTTTTCTTCCTTTTTTTTTTAAATTACCTTTTTAAATGTGATAACAACCTTTAACGCTGTTCTTTTCTTCATTTCCCTCAATTTCATCCATTCTATCGGATGACCTCATCGAGCAATCATTTTAAAGAAGAGAAAGAAACTAAAAATTAATTATTCTATTTTTTTCCCATTACTTTACAAAAATCAATCGCAAAATTTAATGGTATATCCTGGTAAGTCGTCAGTGATGGTTTATTTTGATAGCAAAATCTCAAAAGTATGATATACTTTCGTTTTTTTTTTCTTTTTTTTTGGTGGAACTAGAGGAGCGGGAAAAATCATGAAGGGAAAAGCAGGTCAAAAAAAAAAAACAAAAACAAAAAAAGGTCAGAAGAAATTCACATTTCTATGAAATTCCATCGTCATTTCTTGCTTCTCAATAATGACCCCACAACTTTTTCGAACATTTTCGGGTATTTGAGCAAAATAAGGACATCTATCCTTTTTTTTTTTAAATTTCAATTTTAAATCGAAATTTAGATCGAAATCTTTCCGGAAAAAATGCGATTTGTCGATTTTATTGCATAATATTTTGCAGAAAATTATCATAAAATATTATCAAATATTATTGAAGACTTTTTTAATACTATTACTACTGTTTATCATTATGTTTTGACACATATTTTTCGATTTCATAAATAAAATTGCTAATTTAATTGTCCTAAAATTAAAAATTTCCTAAATTCAAATTATCTAAACCAATTACTGTTAAATGCAACGGAAAATTTGCCGTGTAATCAGAAAAGAAAATTTATTTTAATTGGTAATAAATCAAATTTCCGATCAAAATTAAGCGGAATTCATTCCATAGTGCAACAATTGCGCACGGAACAATGAAGGAGCAAACGAAAGATGTAAACTTTTTCCTTTATTGTTTTAAGCTACTTTAAGAGGAATTAATATCGGAATTGATTATATCGCTTATTTCTAACTGATTGTATTACACTTTTCTTGTTGTTATTTCAATCGATCTTTTCAATTTTAGTTTCAAATTTTAGTAGTTCAAAAATTTTTCAAAAACTTAATTTCGATTTTTTTTGAATTGAAACTGAATGATTGTAATCTTAAATCGAAAGTTCAAAAAGTCATTGTAATAATTTCCAATTTTCATTTTAAATTAATTATTTAAAAAAAAGAAAAAAGCCAAGAATAATATATCAAAAGATCAAATTAAATGCTTACAGCGTCTTATCCTGGAAAAAAAAAAAAGAAAGAAAATTCAGCGATCATTTCATGGTTGTAAATGAATAGATAAATATATATCAATCAGGAAATCTGTAAAATTTTGAATTATTATATCGAAAATATAATTAAAAAATGTTTATTCAAAATTTCATCCTCGAAAAGCTTCACATTATATCTCGGTTAATTTAAATCCTAATGATATAACATCACTTTTTTTTCTTCAAAATGATGAAAGGAAATCATTTGAAATTTGGTATTGATATTTATAATTAAATTTGAAATTAGATGAATATGATTTTGTTAAGAAAATATGATATTCCAGTCCCTAGAAATTGGTCATTTTTGATTTGTTCCATGAAAAAGAAGAATTAGTTTTAGTGAAAAATTTAATAAAACTTCAAAATATTACCAAAAACTTCTCATCATAAAATGAATACATTTCAATTGAGATTTCAGGTAACATGTGGTTTTGCATGTGAATTGACCATATGATAGATGAATATATGGTATATTGATAGTTGCTAATTAAGCTGAACTGATAACTGATAATGTAAAAAGAATGGCTAAATGGCAGTGAAAAAGTTAAACAAATACTGTGAAAAGAAAAAACCATTATTATATTATTACATTATCGTATAATGAATTATAATATTAAAATAAATTTATGAAAGACCATGAAAGACTAGCAATAATTTATTATTCTAAATTAATTAGAATCAATCCAACTAACAACTAACAAAATTAAACTAGTAAGCTATCATTTTGAATTAGCAACCTGTATTCACAAAATATGTTTTAGTTAGGGTTAATTAACTTAATGATGCATTGTTAACTAATCACTTGACTTATAACTGGAAAAAAATTAAATTGATACATTAGGAAACTGATAGATAATCATTCAGTCAACTTGAAATTTCTCTTAATAGCAATAGTTTTATTTATTTAAACCAGGTCAAAGTGACGAAATACAAATATTCACCATTAAATAAAATGAGTAATCATTGCTTGCACTTTTCTGTTCCGCTTTTTTTTTTTCTTACCTTTTCTCCTATTCTTTTAAAGATTTTAAAGAGTGCATTAAGATATGATGATATATCGTATCAATAAAGATGCCTCATGTTAACATCAAGATAACAGATGACAGGACACAAATACACACGCCTATCATTTGGATAATGGAAGGAGGATGTTTTACCACATCCTGCCATCCTAATTGATATGGTATTTAAGGAAAGAATGTTCGAAGTGTCACATATCCATTCACTACGAATAACTAATTGTACATTCTATTAAAGGTTGGTATTTTTCATTTTAGGAAGTGGTAAGAATTGAAAACTCAATTTATTATTGATAGATAATAAAAAAATGATGTAAAATTTTACAAATATTACAATCATCAAGAGTAATTATAGATTAGTAGTAATAGGATAGGATAAGATACTATCACTTACAGTAATCAGCACCAACAAAATACATGATAAAGCATCGTTGTTAACAACAAAATAATATTCGTTTATGATCTCTTATGATTAAAGAAGGACAAAAAAAAGTTAACAAAATGTTGCGATGATTAAATTGTAGACTACTTAGATTACTACTATTGTTATTACTTAAATTAGATGAAATACTGTCATTTATAGTAACTAGCATTAATGAATAAATGATAAGGAACTGTAGCCAACTGTAGTCAATGTTTAATTGATTGTGACATTTCTAATACTTATTGTTAATATTTTTCGTTAGGTAAAATACTGTTACTACAGTAACTAACGTTAATGAGTAAATGATAAAAGACTGTAGCTAACCGTAGCAAATGTTTAATTGATTGTAACATTTCTAATGCTTATTAACAACATTTTTTAAGCTATAAATCTTCTTTCCTATCAACTAGAAATCTTGCCTTATATCTATTGTTAAATAAATTTTTAAAAAATCGTTTTCCAATTTTTCTTCATCTTTTTTTATAAAATTTCTCACATTGAGAATATTTTTTGTGCTTTAATTAATCTAACAACAAAAAGCACAATGACACTTTTTTCTTATCAACTAAAACATATTTAACTATATCTTTTATTAATATTTAAAAGATACTGTTAATTACAGTATATTGTTATTTATAGTAATGATTTTTTTTTACACTAATAAATGGATTTAATATAAAGCTTTATATGAAGGATTTTTGACATGTCATATTTGATTTTCAAAAAATCAATGTTGAAAATTCCGTTTTTTTTGTAATTTTTTCACAAAAACATTTAGCTTTTACAACATTTTTTCCTTTTTTGTTCTCTTCGCAAATTAGTTTTGATAATTTTAATTTTAATTTCATAGAATTGAATGCAATGAATTTGAAAGCAAATTTAAAGCCCACTACAAAGATGATGATGACTGTAACAGCTGAAGAAGAACAGTATTTGTATATGCCTGATTTATTTACTGTAACAGATATGAAGCATTTTCGACGTGTTGCATTTATTGCTATTACCTTAAGTACTGTAACAATGTTAAGTTGTATTATTGTTATGCCAATGTCTTATCAATATCTTCAAAAAGTGCAAAGTACATTGATAAATGATATGGAATTTTGCAAAGTAAGCTTTTATTGTTTTTTCAATTTTTACAATCCTAAATCTTTCAGAAAATTACAGCAATGGTCATTTTATATTCCATATGCAACAATTTTTTTTCTTATCACAGTTTAAAAAAAGAAAAGATTTTTAAAAACACTGAAGGGAAAAAAACCAGAAGC